ATCCTAAATTGGGTCGTTGCAAATACTTGACATTAATTAAACAATACAATGCTGGATTTCTTTCAAAACTCGTTATTGTTAACGTGGCGCAATGCAGTTGCATTGCACGTCTCCCTTTTCTTCCTTCCATGTTTTATCAAGTACCAATCGATCTATCGACTAATCAAATCAAACACTTAATTTGAATTAAACCGAACCCAGAATCCATGGCGAAACGTCGTGAGAACCATTCCACGTTTGCCAACTCGTCTGTCTTATCTCGTTCCATGCAACACTACATGTGTTGGGTACATCTGGGCCACACATTTGTCTAGAATTGTGCCTAATTGAGTTTCGCAACATTCTAGATCACAAGTGTTGCGTAACGAAGATCTAGACATTGTTGACAGATCGCTTTTCCGGTGGGATACTTTTACCAATTTCTTCAACAATGGGTGAAGAGCGGCTCCCACATCTTCCTTCCGGATTAGAAAGCACTCACCCTCGGTGGTGAGAATTAGCAAAGTCTGAAAGTTTGTTTATCTGAGATCAGGACACAATAATTAGTAAATTAATAGACGCCTACTGTTCGTCGTTCCGCGTTGCTACCATAGTTCAAAGGTACATCATTAAATTTCAATCAAGATTAATCCATAACACGTTGAAGTAATCAAACCATGAACCAATTTTTTGCCAATTAAGTGATCAGTTCGAAAATGGAGCTCCATCATTACCATTTAGATTACGATGTCGCATCAACAAGGTCATCTACTTCTTCGGGTTTTGTATTGTGGGTGTTGTGCAAGTAGGAAATCCACTTTTGGGTAACATCTGTTAGGAATGTTTAGGTCATCGTAGAAAATTCTTCTCATCCATCTGCATTGTCCAGACCGTTGAGCAACATTGCGTGCGCTGACGGTTATTTAACGCTTGACATTTAATACACTGTACTTGTTTTTACCTCAAATCGGCGGTTTGTTCTGTAAGAGAGTTAGAAACTTCGCATCCTCTTCTTTGCGAAATACTTATAATTCGAGACTAAGCATTTCCTCTGCGACTTTACGCAATTACGAATTCGTCAATATCGAACAATGTGGTGTGTTTAAAAAGCAATTCTCACCATTTCACTACTTTCTATAAGCGTAATAAATTGATGCATAAAAAATAGCTAAAGGTTAAATTGCAGGCGTACGAAAGGAGGAAGATAATTTTTCCCACTAGGGTCGAAGAGCTTTTTATCAAATTATTGAAGACCTCCGTAATTAAATCCTCGTAATGGAAGTCATCATCAAATGATCTCTTACGCAAGCCGACGATCACGATTGTTTTATTAGCCCAGAAAGGAGTGTTATCTAGGTTGGAGCAATTACTTTAAATTATCTTTATTTCAGAAAAACAAAAACGACACAAAGACAACTCAATTAGACAACAATAACATGTGATTATCTATGCAAATTTGATTTCAAGGGTAGGCGCTTTGTTTTGAAAGCGCCGAATCGGTGAGAATCTGACATCTTTACATAAGAACCTTGGTATTAAAATATTTTCATTATAGATCCGAAGAATTACGTATTAGTTAATCGGGCATGTAACCACTCATAATCTCGTGTCGTACTTGACGCAGCTTTCTAAATTTTATCCTCTGTTAATTACTCGCCACGGCACAACTAATTATGATCACAACCAATCAATTGTCGCACGAAAACAATCGTCATAAATCCGCTTCCTGGTGAAACCATACGTCTGCATTCGAAAGCGTTTTTTGTTAAAATTAATGCAGTAGGTGCGGAGATCACCGCGACACTTATTTATATATTCTATTTCAGCGTTCAGGAATCTCACGTTGAAGTAATTTCCACGATGAGCAATCTTCCTCAAATACCAAATGTCAAACCTATTACAATTTTTATTATCCGGGCAGAAAGGTGAGGGCCGCAAACTCTAACCGTGAAAATCACGCAGCATGCCATCATCAACGCGTTTAATTGATAAGAACTTCCAAGAATAAGCTTTTTGGGTCAACATGCACTTAAACTTCAAGTGCATTTCTTCATTATCCACTCTATTGAAAGACCCCGCTCCAACAACAGTTAAGTGTGCGTGTCCCAAAAATGTACCTGAACTCGTTCGTATTCCTGTTACTCTATTCCACGGTAGTTCAATCCAGACCGGTGAAGTTTCCATGCAACTCTTCGCTTGCTAAACTGTCGTTTGGTAGCACACATTGGGCCGATCTGACGAACGTCTGGAAGTGGATGTTGTCAACCGGGACGAGCGACGAGGCCGTGGCTTTACCCCTCCAGGAGAAAAAGCCGAGATGGGTCTTCAGCAGCATGAGCAAAAATCAAGAGGAGCTGATGAAACCCATGGAGCACGTCCTGTTTTTGGAAAATAAACGACCGCGATGGGTGTCCAAAGCTTGAATTGGTTATAACGAAAATAAAAACTGTTTACTCGAGTGTTGCGTTTTCACTAATCCTTTGTGGTTGCGATTTTTTGAAGTTGTGTAGTGATTTTTCAAAATAATAATAATAATAATAAATTGAAAAAAGTTTAAGTAACATTAGTGATACTTCAATTAAAGTCAAAATAAGTGTCGTTCATCGTTCGCAATTTTGCAAAAATTTCCGCACAACCCCACGTGCAACTGTTCTAATCAAGTGTGCCCTAACCTTGAAAGACCTCTTCAGCACCATCCGCCAAACCCTCCATTCCTCCACGTCCGTAAATCATCAGTCTCCGAAACGACAAACAACTTCCACTTATCCCTCATGAATAAATCGCAACAACTAAGTTTAATCAAATAATAAGAGCCGCTATCATCTTGAACTTTGTCATTCCGGAAACTCCAATTACCTCTCCTTTCTTCCACATTATCCAACTCGGCCTGTCAGTTAAAGTGTAACAATGCAACTAAAAACTTCCTTAATCCTCCTCTTATTAATTCTCGCAAATTTTACCCTCTCGAAACGCTCAAGAGGTCGTAGTCGCGGCTCATCCGGAAGCTCGACGAGTTTCTGGACGCGCAAAAGCAAGAGCTCCCCTGAACCGAAACCGGTTGTAACTCAACCGAAACCATCGGCACCTAAAGAACCCGAAGTGAAGAAACAAACCGCAAATGTGCAGCAAAGTGCGCCCAACTCTCGACCCATTGGCTGGGACGTGGACAAAACCAACGTCCAGAAGCAGAACGTGAATCCTTCCCACGCAGCACCCAACCCACAGCATGCAGGTGCTGCCTACCCTAATTCCGGGATGTACCCACAGAATTCCGGGCAAGCCGGATATGGGTATCCTAATCACGGAGTGCAGCAAGGTTACAACCCACAACCGTACCCGGTACAGAATCCCGGGCTCCATCAAAATAATATGGGTGGGTATGGTTATCCCCACGCGCAGCAGCCTAATATGGGGTACGGGCAGATGCCTCAGTCCAACATGGGGTACGGACAGATGCCGCAGTCAAATATGGGATACGGACAGATGCCACAGTCCAACATGGGGTACGGACAGATGCCACAGTCCAACATGGGTTACGGACAGCAAACTGGACTAATGGGGTCTATGTTCGGTGGAAAGAAACACGGGTACGGTGGTTACGGTGGCTACGGTGGTTATGGTGGTTACGGTGGCTATGGTATGAAGAAATCCGGAGGTTTCTTCGGCAAACACGCCTTCAGAAACGTTTTGGGTGGACTCTTCGTTTGGTATTTAGTTTCAGGATTAGTCAGCAGGCCATATAAAGTATACAATTTTTATAATCAACCGCAAGAACGTGAGGAGATTAGTCTTCCAGCCAACGTTTTAACCTTGTGTAATGAAAATGCCACCAACATTTGCGTACCAGGTACTACGGCGATTTGCACCCAAGATAGCCAGATTTTGTGTGTTTCCACTATAGCAACAGCTTCTCCTTGTCCGAATAATGCCGGGGAATTGTGTGTGAACAGTACGATTCCCTGTATGGACACTAATGATCCGTTGTGTCAGAATAAGACAACCCCTGATAATACAACAACGGTTAATTTGCCTTGCTTGACGAGTATGACGCTTCAAGGAGCTTCTACGAGTTTACCTCAGAACGTTACTTTACCACCCAGCGAGAATAACAAGTTTTGTGTTACAACCATGGCAGTACCGGATCCTTCCATACCTATAGAGACCGAAAACCCAGAAATACAAACCAATCAAGGGGGGTTGGCTCCGGCAAACGTGACGACCGAAGGGTTCAACGGCACTCAACCTGTCAAACTCTGACAGAATTGTTTATGTTTACTAGCATAGAACTATTTATTTAACTTGTAATGGAATAATAACCAATAAAAGTAGTAAACGGAGCACGTCTTGACTTGTTTTGATTATTAAGAATTCCGCCGGAGTCCAAGGTTTAGATAAGATTTCTGCTACCGATATCCCGTTGTGTCTACCCAGTGACCTTTAGACAATTTTGCACATTTCCAGCTCTTCGCAATCCTTGGGCGCCAAATCCGCATTCTAACTTCTAAAACGTGTTCACACGGGAACAATCCTCGCGGTCTTCCAACCCAGAAAAAATCACGACTTCGTACGACCTTAATGCTTCACTTTCACTCTTCTTCGATCTGTTTACCGTACTGACTTTTAGCAATATGTCACCAGGCCGGTGCACTTTTAGCATCGTTAAAAACAGAAAAAATTTGAGGACATCGAACGAAAGTCGTGCGAACTTGGTCTTTCCTAGGGTTGGGCTATTTCTGTATTCACCGCAAAAGTAATCAAAAAGTCAGAACACGGTTCACGTTTGTCCAATTTAAATTTATTAAGTAAGGTGAAGGCTGGTAAAAAAATCTTGCTCATCACCTCTCGATGTTGATTGATATTCCTGCACACAGTGAAGGTCGCAAACAGGTTGCCTCTCAACAGTTATTTTTATCGAAAATTGTCATCTCCGAGCCCTCGTCTATCATCAGGTATTAATTTATTCGGCGTCCTTGAGATCGCCGGTTAAACGGATTCTGCTTTGTCTGTAGAAACCGAGAGTTTTCTTTGGCTATCCCCCCAACTAGGCAGACTCAGCCTTAGCCCCTCTTCAGAGGACATCCTTTCACTAACATCTTCAAGAAACATCTGAGTGCCTCTTCAGTTATTCGGTGGCTTACCATCATGAAGGGTGTTAGTGTACTTATTTTTATAGGTGAGTAGATAAAGTGGTAGTGAACTTGGAATAGCCGCGGGTGTTGAGTGTCCCAATTGTTGCCGGTACTCCCAGTGGTGGATTTTTTCAAATTTTTTAAGGGTTCGAATTGTTTCCCACTATGTGAAAAAAAATACAATCGCATTGTTATAACACGGAGTGCGACTTTTGGTGTATGGAAATTATATAATAGTACCTAATTACTTGGGAAGTTTTCTTTATGTTAATTTAGCAAAATTTCCATTTTTGTTTCTAATGAAACATGAACAAGCAGAGCGATGCCCTCATTATTTATAACAATTTATATAACAGCAATTGACCCAAAGAAACATTTTCAATTATCATATTTTTATTATTTGCTCATTATGTAATTAAAAAAGTAAGATTTACGTTCAAAAAAGACAAAAAGACAAAAAGACGCCAGGTCGTGTGATAATTGCTTACATTGTTTTTGAAGATGACAGTTTAGTCCATTGTTCCATTCATCCCAGTTTAAACGAGCTTAATTTGTCCACAATTTTAAAAATATTCACAAAGCGGTTACGTAAATTCAGTTGCTTCTAAATTGAAGAAATAAACATAATTTACCTTTTATGACGAAATCCCTTTTGCTACACTACACAGTCAATTGACTCTTCATACAATACTTACACACGATGTGACCCTCATTAACTTCTTAACTATTTTAAACAACCGAGAAGAATCGTATGGTCTCTGGGTATCACACGTGACATTCACAGAGACCTATTTTACCGGCTCAATTAACCCGCATAAATAAATTAATTAATAATTCTCACCTTTATCGAAATCCACGATCTCATCTCGCCTCAAATTACTCAACTGAATATTTTAATATCTTACAACACGGTTACATAACCGGATTCGTACCCATCTATCACGGTCAGCAGGTGTCGCCACCGTAGCTCCCGGATCTACCCGGAGCCAGCTTTTTGAAAACCGTTTATCTTTTTTTCCAGGGTTGTTGGGGTGCACGTGCTCCCAATTCCTCAACCACCGCCCTTTCCCCACCTACAGCCTGGAAAACATGCCCGACACCCAATTCACCTGCAGGGATAAGATCCTCGGTGGCTACTACGCCGATGTCGAGACCATGTGCCAAATGTTCCACATTTGCGTAAAAGTCGCCGGAGTCGGAGTAAGTCCAAAAAATGACCACTGGATTTTTAAACTTATGTTGGGCAATTCCAGGTGCAAGATTTCCGCTTCCTGTGTCCCAACGGGACGGCTTTCGACCAAGACCATCAGATCTGCGCCGAATGGGAGGATGTCGACTGCGACGTATCCACATTGTATTATTCTAGCGATAACTTCGACCTTTACCGCATCGGATCAGGTATTTAAACTTTCACTTTTCCTGATGGTTTACTGCAGCTTCTTTAGCCGTCGGGCGTGAGTATTGCACACGATGCAAGATTTTAACGAGCTCGTGTGTCTTGCATGAAATGTTAAACTTGTTATGTCGTCGGAATTACGAAAATGTGATTTATTGGTGATCTGGTTTTGACGATTTGGAAACAGATTGAAATATCAATTTTGTGGGTTTTGGGTAAATAGGATCTGGGTCGTGAGGCTTAGAGCTTCTTTAGCAATTTTCGATTACTTGTATGATTTGTCAACACTTTTCTTCAGATTTTCTAGTTTGCAACTCATGTTAGTCACCCACTTAGTAGAATTTACTTAAGTTTGTTTGATATTCATCACCGAATCACTATTAGTTTTCTAAAAAAATCTATGTTCTAGGTTTTGAGTCAAAGGCGGTGAAATATGGTGAAGATGAAGAAACTTTCGCTCTACAACGCGCAGAATCTGGTGACGCTAGACTTAACCGAGACCATCAGACCCAAAGGGTGAATCAACAGAAAGATCAACTTAGAAAGAACAAGCCACAAAGTAACTTCAACAATAATAACAACAACAACAACAACAACAACAACAACAACAACGACAGAGATATCTTTAAAGGTTCCAGCAGCTCTAACTTCTTCAACAACAGAAACGGTGGTAAAGAAACCGACGACGATTATGATGACAATGTCAATGTTAACCAAAATAATGACAATTTCCAAAAGAAGAAGGTTTTGAGAAAGCAAAATAGAAGACCTGTGCAAAACGACAACCAATTTAACAATAATAACAACAATAACAACAATAACCAGTTTAACAACAACAACAACAACCAGTTCAACAACAACCAACAAACTCGAAGACCGGCCCAAAACGACAACAATCAAAACCACAACCAACAAAACAGAAGACCCGTCCAAAACGACAACCACCAACAAAGACGACCAGCACAAAATGACAATAACAATCAAAATTACAACCAACAGAGTCGCAGACCTGCTCAAAACGACAACCAGAGTGGAAATCGCCAGCAGCACCACAGAGGAAATCACAATGATAATCAAAACAATCGTCAACAAAGTGATTCTCAAAACAATCGCCAGCAGAACGATTACCAGAGCAATCGTCAACAAAACGATTTCCAAAGCAATCGTCAACAAAACGATTTCCAAAGCAATCGTCAACAAAACGATTTCCAAAGCAACCGTCAACAAAACGATTTCCAAAGCAATCGTCAACAAAACGATCATCAAAACAACCGCCAGCAGTCAAGCAGAGGTCAAAATAACAACAACCGCCAGGAGCAGAGTAACAACAACCGTCAGGAACAAAATAACGATTCCCAAAACCGTCAAGTCGAAGCACAAACCTACAGACCACACCGTCCTACTGGATTTGTTAACAACTTTGCTGGAAGTAGCTACGTGCCAACGACTCATCGTCCCGTTTCTACTACTAGTCTTGCAGAAACTAATAAGCCGAGAAATGGGCAAAATCAGTACAACGATAGACAATACAATAACGCTGACAGCTTCAGACAAAATCAGAATCCTCCTACTCCTTCTTACACCATAAGTACTCCAGCTCCTTTCAAGCAGTCTCAACAGTACAATAGTCCTCCTAATAGACAAACTACCCAGTACAACAACGGTCAGTACAATCCTACTACTCAAGCTCCTCAGAAGGAAACGGAGAATTACCCTACCAATTTCCCTAAGCAATCATACAACAAAGCTACTGAGAATTACCCAAGTTCTAGATTTACTCAGAAGCAGACGGAGAACTACCCTACTCCAGCTCCAATTAACAGGAATAGTCCGTTCAGTACGCAGTATGATATCCCGAAGGTGAAATCGACGGAAAACTATCCTACTCCAGCTCCGGTTAACAGGAATAGTCCGTTCAGTAATCAGTATGATATTCAGAAAGTGAAATCGACGGAGAACTACCCAACCACGGCTGCACCTAGTAGGAACAACCAGTTTAATAATCAGTACAACAATGGTGCTAATAGTAAGTCATCGGACAACTACGCCACACCAGCACCAGCCACTAGGAATAACCAATTCAATAATCAGTACAATGCTCCTAAGAGTAAGGCAACTGAGAATTACCCTACACCAGCTCCGGCTAACAGGAACAACCAGTTTAATAATAATAATAATCAGTACAATAATGCTCCAAAGAGTAAACCAACAGAGAATTACCCAACTCCAGCCCCAGTCAGTAGGAACAACCAGTTTAATAATCAATACAACAACGCCCCTAAGAGTAAACCAACGGAAAATTACCCCACACAAGCTCCTAAAGTTACTCAGTACAACACTCACTACGACATTCCAAAAGTGAAACAGACCAAACAGGAGAACTACCCAACTACTCCTTTCAAAAACGATTATTCGACCCAATTTAATAAGAAGGCTACAACACCTGTCAAACAAACCGAGAACTACCCTACCACTTTTGCTCCCAAATACAACAAAGCTCCTACTCAGTCACAACAATTTAACAACAACAACAACAACAACAACAACAACAACAACAATAACAACAACAAGAACAACAACTACCCATCAACGTTTTCGCCACGCACGAACTCTGGTTATACCCAAATTTCGCACCAGACCACACAGTACAACAACCCGACTAACAACAACCAACAACAACAACAACACAGTACTCCCAGAACTACTCCCTTCACCCAATACACTCCCACAGTACCTAAAATCTCCTCCACGACACCAGTAGCTCGTTCTAACCGATATGACGAAACCCAGTACGATGATGGTTCCTACAACTCCAAGTACGACAAGAATGACGACGAGTTCTTGAAGACGGCCCACAGTCAAAATATTGCTAGCAGCAGGAACGAGTACTCAAAAACTACCAAGAATGTTTCTCCTTCCACGCAAAAACCCCATTTTGAGAGTCCCAGACCGTTTTCTGTAAGCTCGAACACACCCAAGGTTACAGATTACCCTAAGTCGACTCCTAGGCCAGTAGAAAACAAGGGTAACACGAGTAGTAAGAAAGTTAAAGATGCCAGTTACGATTATGCGTACTACGATTCCAATGTGGGAAGTGAGCCAGAGTACGATATCGACACAGAAATCAAAAAAGCCAATGTGAAGAATTAGGGTAGTTGTAGTTGTTTAGTTGTTTTTAAGTCTGTTTTAATTTTATTTACTTCTCAAATGTGAACAGTATTTTTATATGAAATCGGAGAAAATTTTAACTTTATTCTAAGGTTGTACATATTGTATTTTATTAAGATGAATAAAGTACTGTTATTTAAATGTTATTAGCAGCAGTTATGAATAAACGCTGATAAGACAACCTATAGGGCATTTTGGTTGTACTCCCCTTCCACTTTTGACACTTTCTATATCCTTTAGAGATGTCATAATGAAAGAATTTTCCCTTCGAGTACCACCATCGTACCAAGACATAATAATAATAACACCACACTTCAAAATTAACAAAATATTTTATTGATTTAATTAAATTATATTAATCTATGAGTATTTATAACAAATTATGTTCAATAATAATTACAAAAGATTTACCCTAGTAGGACGAGAGAATCAAAGTCTGTTGACTTAAGAGAGCTTAATTATTTACAAACACCTCTCCGGCTTACTCTTTGTACAAATCAGTTTCTCTTCATCAAAGTAAGTACCCAAGTCACACACGAACTTCATGTCGAGTAGCTGGTTCTTAGTGTAACCCGAAGTACAATAATGGAAGAGCCTACAGTCTCTCGGATCGGAATAAAACTTATTGATGGCTTTCCCAAAACAGTTGAATATATACGACTTAAGTTTTTCCTTTCGCACGTGTAACTTATACACCATCGATAACGGAGTAGTATGGAGGGATTCTTTTGCCGATTCGGCTTGAGTAGGATTGGCACTTTTAAACAGGGGAGCGTCTGTCGCTGGGACATCTTCTGTGTAATCTACAATCGTAGATGTGGTGATTCTTGGTGAGGTAGAAATTTCTTCCTTGATTAGACTTTCAGTAGTTGTTAATTGACTCGTTAAAGCGTCTACAATTTCATCTTCGATGACAGGTTTTCGCCTGCTCGGTCGCGAGGTTAATTCAGTACTAAATCTATGTCTAGAATTTGGTCTACGGTAACTTGAGGAAGTTCGAGTACGTAGTGGACGTGTCCGGCGTGCGTTGTGCCGACTACGTGTAGTACTTGGGACTTCGGTGGTCGTGGTGGCTGCAGGTGTCAAGTTTGTGGCGGATTCTGTACTTATAGTACTACTAGATTCTGTTGCTATGGTTTGGTAAACTTCATTATTTGCGTCTACTGTTGTGGTTTCTTCGTAATATTCAGTAGTGCTTGTCGAACTGGTGGAAGGGATTTCTTCAAGAGTAGTACTAGAGGGAGTTGTTGTTAGAGGATCTTCTTCAATTTTGTCAGTTGGTTCCATGGTACTTTGCGGAGTAGTAGTAGGTGCTGCCTCTAAAGTGGTACTTTTAGAATCAGCATCTTCAGGTTCTGTGGAAATTATTTCCCCATTTTCTGTAGTAGTTTCGTCTATGATTTCTTCATTTTCATTCTTTGGTTCTACATCTTTTTCACTAATTTCATCGTTTATTGGTAATGTTGGACTTTCGTCTTCTGTTTTATAATTGTTATTAAATCTAGTTCTACCTCTCCCTCTTCCTCGTTCACGTGGTTTCTTAATTTCTTCTTCTTTATCAGTGTCAACAAGCTCAGGTTCTTCTTGTTGATCACCAAATTCTTTATCAAAATTAACATCACTGGGTTTTATTAAAACCGTTTCTTTATTTTCTAAATGTTCAGAATGTTCTTCAGTGTCTGTAAATTCTACTGTTGTAGACATTAAAGCTTCGTCATTTGGATTATCTTCATCATCTGGGTCTTCACTAACTTCGGTGGAAGATTTATCTTTGGGAGAAATTTCTAATTGTTCTGTGACTTCTCCAGGCAATTTTACATTTTCCTCTTCATTGTCTCCAGTAGATTCAGTCTCGAGTTCGTACTCATCATAATACTCAACATCATCTGGTTTAGATAAAACTTCTTCTTCATGACCCGCATCTTCATTCTTTTCGTGATCCTCAATCATTTCTTGAGTTGCAGTAGTTCCCAAATTTTCGTCAGTCGTTTCATCTTCATTACCTAATTCTTCAGTAGTTTCGACTACGGGTTGTTCAGTTTTGATTGCAGTTGCCTGACGAGTACTATCAGAACTGTAATTATCATAGAATTTACTATTACTTCTTCCTCTTATTCTTGGTTTGGACAAAAGATTGTCCTTTTCCACATCTGTAACGTGTGGTTCTTCCATCTGTGTGGTCGTCTCAACTTCTGGATTTTCAACCACCGTAGTAGTCTTCTCAGACTCGGGTTCTAGTTCTTCGTATTCGATATCGAAAGGTTCTTCAGGAGTTTTTTCAATGTGTGCATCCTCTGTGTTGGTCTCATTTTGAGCAACTAATTCTTCAAATTCGGTTGTTGTTCCTTCAAAGTTGCTACTAACTTTACTTTCTTGTCTCATTTGATCATCTTCAAAATCTTTATCGTCATATGAGTCGGTTTGCGTAGACGTAGGTTCTTCGGAAACATCTACCACTTCCTGTTGAGGTTCTTCAGTAGCGTCTACCGGTTCTGTTTTATTTTCTTCAGGTATTAGTGTCGTTTCTGTTTCTAGATTTTCTTCTGTTTCGGTAAAAATTTCTTGTTCCGGGGTTGTTACTTCTGGTGTAGTTGTTGCTAGCGTAGTTGTTATTGTGGTCGTTATTTTTTGAGTAGTGGTGGTGCTTGGGGTCGTTACTTTTTGAGTAGTGGTGGTACTTGGGGTTGTTACTTTTTGAGTAGTGGTGGTACTTGGGGTCGTCACTTTTCGAGTAGAGGTGGTACTTGGTGTGGTTATTTTTTTAGTACGAGTGGTCCTTTTGGTTGACGAAGGTCTAAACTTTTTTGCAGGCGGAGCAACAGTTATAGTCTCTTCAACTACGTGAGCCTCAGTAGTTGGTTTTTGTTTGTCCTTTAAACGAATTTTTGGTTTTAAAGCATTTAACGAAGCGATATATCTTTGTCTATTTTCATTAATGAGTCTTTTATGATGGGTTTTTGCTCTCTTTCGCATGATACCCATGATTCGGTTCGTCGTGGTAGGTTCGGCAGTTGTAGTTGTTGGTGGTAGCGTCGTTTCTTCAATAGTTGTTGTTACAACTTTCTCCGTAGTTGTTACATTTGTCTTAGTTTTTTCCGTCACATTAGTGTTATTTGACTGTACAGCTTCATAGTTATCATCAACATAGTCAACAGTATCTAATTTTGCCACGGTAACTACAGTAGGTTTTGACGTAGAAGCAACTGGCGCTTCCGTCACACTCAATACATCTCCGACAATATTAAACTTACTTCTTCTTTTAAATAAGGCACTTTCTTTAAAATTGAAAAAATCATCGTAACTTTTGTTCTGATTCAAAATCGGAGCCTCGACAATCGGCGCCAACTGTTCATTTATCTCCGTAATGTCTTCCGGGTTGATCGGTACCTTCACCGTACTACTTTTCTGGTGAGTGCTATACCATTCGAACAAAAACTTGAGCACATCGGCAGCTGCTTGCTCGTTAGGAATATCTGAAGGCTTAATTTGCCTCTTTTTCCTTCTAGACGCTTTAATTTTAGGCACGTCGTGGTAAAACGGATCGAGGACCACATCGTGGTCCTTGTAGTCATCGTACGACTTTGGTGGTTCTTCCAGTAACGGTGTAACACCTATAGTACCTAAGGAATAATTCAATCTACGTCCGCTATTATCGCTAACACTAGCACTAGCACTAATTATAATCCTAGGTGGAGGCTGATCACTGGTGTACCTCTTCGTTTCAATATGGTGGCCTAAACTAAACGGTGCCGGCGAACTAAACGTCAATGGAGGCAGTGTTGGTAACAATGGTAGTGGCAGCTGCAGTCTTTGGGGTTTTTCGGTACGATACGTATGGTACGTAGGCGTTTTCAACGACGATACATACGATGTTCGAAAAGTCGTAGATTCTTTATGAGGGTTATACGGGTGTTTACGGGTTGTAGCCAGATGTTCGCTACGATAAGTCGTCGTTTTGAACTGGTTTCTGAACTGTGCGTGCCTATAAGGCACGTTGGAGTGGTGGTACTGGTAGTTGTGCGGCGGTTCCGTGTACTCTTGACTGTTATCTTCCGTCTGGTGGTACGTGAACCCGTAATTAATATCCGCTGGGGTAGCAGGCGATTGTCCTTTGATTTTCTGGGTGGAAGAGACAGGTCGTTGTGTGTTGGGTACTATCCTCACGAAGTCTTCTTTGTCGGGAGTACCATAACTCGTGTGCGTCGTCACTACAACCTTCTTCTTATTATCGTTGAAAACTTGTTGTTGGTACGCCAGAGACTTCGACCTTAGATTAGCCAGAGTGCCTGGGTGTAGACTAATGTTGATCTCCTCTGGGTTGAACCTAATATCTGGACTATTCGAAATCGGAAAATGATGCGCCGAGATTACTTTAGTTACTGTGGTCACCGTCGGCGCTGCTGTTGTAAAAAACGCGGCTTTCGTCGTCTTGGTTTTGGGTTTCGGTGTCGTGGTGGTGGTCGTGGTGGTGGTTGTAGTGGAAGCTTTTATGATGATGGGTGGATCAGTGTCCGCATTATCTACAAAAGCACGTCTTAGTAAACAATTTTAAATAAAATAAACCCACCTTCTGAGATGCTGGGTTGCGTGTTACCATACAGCTCCAAGTTCAAACTATAGAACTTTTCAGATTTCGAACAGTCAACTTCGTCTATGCGTTCGCAAACTCGAGTTTCCTAAAATTTGGGGAAAGCGTGACCGAAATTCTCCGTTTGGTGGTACCAACCTGGTCAAAGACGGTTCCGTTTAGGCACAAAAAGCGAATGTCCATGGGCTCGTCCAGCTGGCCTATGGTGCACACGTGGAACATCTGGCAGTTGGTCTCCAGGTCCGCATAGTAGCCACCAATGACTTTGCCGACACAGGAAAAGTTCGTGTCGGGCAGGTTGTCGAAGTCCAAGTACTGCAAACCGAAATACTAATTATGACATATGAAAAATGGGTTTTCGTGTGGTGAATTGAGGGACGCGCTCGATAAGGTTGTCCCCGGGTGGCGCCGTGTGGGACGCCTTTGTATTGTTTGGTTTTTAAAACAACCAGCTTTTTAGCGAGAGCGCATCGGCATTCTCGGCGCGTCCCACGTTTGGAATTTGTGTGAAAAATGAAAGTGATCGAGATGGGTAAAATCGAAGCTATAATTTACGATATTTTTGATTTTAATTAAGCTAATTTATGAATAGGTGAGTCAGTGATGACAATAGATGTTAGAACAATGCACGTCCATGGATGTCCTCTGGCTCGTTCTTGCGTGGTTTCGCCTCCGCTGTGAAGATCTTTCGATGATTAATGAGCGTTTTCGTGACATTTGAGCTCGATTGGCGAAAATTTCGTGACGTAACCTCGCTACATTTTGCAACGAAGATACGATTAATAGAAGCGGTAATTTATAGCTTCAGGTCAACAAATTAAAAATATTTGTTTACATCACGTATATGATTTGAATTTCTGAATGGTAGCGTGGTACACTCCCGTTTGAATACTTTCATGGTGAATAATACTTACGCCTGGCTCCACACACAGCACGACGTAGACGAAGCCCAAAAGGTACAACCATAGTAGACCTGGGAAAAAGAGATGTTATTAGCGGATCGGAAAATGGTCGGTGAAACGCGTTTGAACATTTCGAAATTCGGTAGACGGTTCTATTGTCGGAAGGAAAGTTGATTGTGGGGTATTTCTCACACTGTCGGTGTCTTTATTGAGTGCAAAATAATACGGAAAAAAACGTTGCGCAAGAAGAGCGAGCGAAATCAAGATGGAATCCGAAGGATGAACACAAATCAATCCGCAATAAAATGTAATGGGAATCAGGTCTGGTTTCCTGTCTTCGACCTTTGGAGGAGCGCAATTGTGAAATTCTGTCGCTCAAAATGTGGCTACACATTGATGGATTCTTTTTTAACACGACTCGAATTAATTATTGTGGAATCAATAGATCAAGGTCTGTATCTCATCTCCAGAACAATGCGTCAAGAAAAAGAAGCCGAGTTGATTTCAAAATTTTATAATCCCGTCGACCTACAAAACTAGCCGCGGTGCCAACGTAACGAAAACACAATTCACTAAGTGCATTTTAATTCCCACAGTCTCTAATTACTTCCACGTTGGTAGTTCCGGACGGATCGAACAATGCCACGAAAATGCTTCGAAATTATGTAAAGATCAGACGATCTTTTGACATTAAAAAGTGAACGGATTTTGTGGAATTTCCCGGCGAGACCTCCAGCCCAGCCCCAACCACAACTTATTTTACAAATCAACCAAAACTTAAACTAATTATTTCAAAAAAGGAAGCACTTCATTAATTCAACGTTTTCCTCTAGTTTCCGCTTGTCTTCACCATATCCTCTCCGACGCTAATATATTTTCACTTTCGTTTACCGCCACATCTGTTTCTTCCAACGAGCTTTTTCCTGTGTACATCAATGTCGCAAATCACGTTTATCTTCACCTGTTGTTTTCTACTTATTCAAATTTCTTCACCACAATGTTTTTAGTTTCTAATCGTAAGTGAACCAGAAACTGTAGCATTTTCTATTTTTTTATTTTTCACATCACTGCTTGTACCGGATTTGGGTCAACAGTGTAGTTTTTTATTGGTGTTCTTGAAAACTAGGTGGAATAAAGAGACAATGAAATTTAAAAAAACTGTGTAATTTTATTTTTAGCGGTGGCGGTAAACCTCTAAGATTGAATCTTCAGTGCCTTTGTTTGCGCAGTTATTATAAAGATGCCCTACATTTAAATAGCAGCAGGTCATTTTTTGTCTGTAGAGTAGTTAAAGTTCATTTTTGTTCTTTTTTGATTTTAGATTGCTTTATGTTTGTGAATGTAATTAAGATAATCTGTTTTTTATTATAAACATTTGTCTGCGTTGCATTTTTAATAACGGTGATCATTATATTTGATAGTAGCATATTTAATGTTTCAAGGCTGAGCAGATAGTTACTTTTTTGTAATAACTCCAGGAAAAATAATACGGATTATTAAAATTACTACAAAAAGAAAATAAAAAACTAAATTAAAACTTTCCACGAAACTCATTACTACGAAGACATTTTATTAAAGCATGAATTAATTTTACTTGATTATTTCGATAAGAAAAAACTATAAAGATAGTTATTAAGATAAATTATTGTAAAACCATTCTATATATTTTACCATATCTCGGAAACATAATGTTACCTTTTTAAAGGACAGGTAAAAAATCAGCTTAAAGGTCACTTAAAAACAGTTAATTAACAAAATTTTAAGATGACGTCAATAATTTTTTTGAAGGGTGGACAAATTTTGGTTAATATAATCTAAAATTTTTATTGGAATACAAAAATAGTGTTCTTACTTTAGAAAAAGGTTTGCATAAGCTTGATATCTGTTTGTATTCTTGTTTCCAGCATTAATTCTAAAAATATTGATTTTCGAAGTTTGAAAATACGTATCTATGGCCATAAATTACTGAACATCCTGCATTCCAGGACATCGACATTATGCAAATCAGCAAATATCAAAAGTGGTTTTAATTAGACTGTTCGCTGAAGTAGCCGCAAAAAATAATCAGTATTCTACATCAACACAGCCTTTAAATTCCCCGCCTTTATTTACAAACACTAATAAAAATGACATTTAACAGACATTTACAACCACTTATTTGCATTGAGGTAGTTACTTTGTAAACGGTAATTGTTTAACAAAAACAATAGTTATAATCTTACAATCACATAATCTTAATCTCAATCTGATAATCATAGTAATTAAGCAAACTAGCAAGGTCGTTGAGCACCCATAAAGCGTCTGGTATTTTCAGATTCCATTACACAACCGCTAAAATATAATTGTCTTTTCGTTAATTAACCACCAAGTGATGACATTTTTCTTTAATTGGTCGAATTCTCCAATTCGACATTCTTCCTCGCCACTTAACCACAAGCAATTTTTTCCAGCGTCGCTAATTTTCCTCTCCAATTCTAAACCAAGACTATTAAACAAACCGCGATTTATATATAACTTCAGCTCCACATACACGCACGTGTTTTACTTTACGTAAGCCATCAATAACCCAGCTCCAATAATCAATTTTCAGGTTTTGCAAGCTCGTTTCCGCCTAACGAAACTCCGTCGCCATACAAATCCGCGATTTCTTCCATTTCGAGTAAAATTTTCGCTACACCTGTTCTAAATTATTGTTCCTGCGTCGCTTCCTGCTCGGAATAGCAAATCCCGCAAATCCACCTGTTGAATAATGCAGGATTAAAAGTCCAGACTGAACGCACGTGCATGCAGACAATCACTGGAAAGTTAGATAATTTGGGGTCAGCATATGTCACCGCTCGTTCCGTGCTATTACAGAAATTATGTATATCGCACACCGGAAAGTTCCGGAACGGCGGTTTCCAGCGACCGGTTTCGCAACAGTGAGAGTGCATCAGCGACAATGACCTTCGATCGGCCCGAATCGTCTCTGGGTCAAAATTAGGCTTGGGAAAAGGATTGGCCAACGGAATGGTATTTGCAGTGACATTTTAAGCATCGCGCTGCCGAAAAAAGTACAATTACAAAATCGAGATTGTTTTGGTCTAGTTGAGGGCTAATTGGAAGTAGAAAAGTGGCCTTAGGCGGAGACTGGTCGTTGCAACTATTTCCTCCGATTTTAGAACAGATGCAAACTAATTGCGTGTTGCGCAACGAGAAACGGCCTTAGCGTACTTGAGAAATATGGGAAGTGGAGGAATTTGGAGCGAGCCGTTGTCAAAGTTACATATGGTTTGAAAAATTAACACAACGGAGAGTTGTAATCTAGCTACAATTTTAATAGCTTACTACTCGAGATACATTAATTTTTTTAGTTGAGCTGATATGTGTAAAATTAAATTAAAATAATTTGCCAGATTAAATTCACTTCAATAAAAAAAGTGTATAACATTAAATCAATTTCAAGTCAAAGCGGTTGTCCAAGCAACACAGAGTGGTTACAAAACTGGTTTCTTTATGGTAAGATTTTTAGTAAACTCTGGGGAAAAACTTTTTTTTTATAATATCAAGTTTATCTAAATCTATAATTATCTTCATTTCTAAAAATTCTTGTTTCAGTTCGTCTCAAAGGTCTTACCCACGTATCCTGCATCATTTTTATTAACCTCCCACCCAATATTTATTATCTACTTCCTTATTTCCCACTTTAAATCTTGCCATACAATTTATGTCTCCTTTTGTGAAGTTACTAGTGGACCATGTCGATATATTCTCCACCGCACGATTGAAAATAAAATAAAATGAATTGAATGAAATGAAAAATTTGACGTAAATCAATGTCAACATAACCTTTAACTACTAATTGGTCTCACAACCACCTCTAATTCGTTTTATTTTGTTATCATTAGTTTCTCTGAATTTCCTCTCCATTTCTTTGACAGTATGTGGGTGATTTAGAATGTTGATTGCCATTTTTAGCTTGAACCTCTTGGCTCATGTTTCATAAGAACTACTGTGTTTTTGTTTTTTTTAAGGAAGCGAGCTTTGAACCTATTGTATTGAATCTTGTTTGGTAGATGAGTTGCAGTGACACACCCAAGTGTGATTTCCAGTCCCAATCCTACAAAAAAGCCGCCATCGGCATTCAAGGAAGTAAAATTCTACCGCGAAATCTTCCTTCTGCACAGTTTCTATTCACGTATGAGTGGCCTGGGAATCGAATCCGTAGATGTCTTTCTCACACTCAAATCGGCGTGAAGATTTTTCTAAACATTTTTGAAATAAACAAAGTTCTTTGATGACAAAGGCTGGGTAGATATTGGTGAATTTAAAGCCATTGGTTTTTTTTTGGCAAAAACCTTATCATACTTACTTATATTGTGTTCATTTTTTTTTAATTCTTCATTTGTTATGTAATAAAAGCCGAACCTGAACTATATTGTATTTACAAAGGTACACCTGTGTCTCACTAAATCGTAATTTTTGTAAAATAATATGATTTATATATTCACTACTTTTTTTAACCTTAAACCTACATATTTTTTGGAAAAATAAACTGTTTATAGTGTCACATGGTCGTCTATTTGTTATTTAATTTTTTATAATACGTTGTAATAAAGGCAATTTTGGCGGGCAGGGATTAATCCACAATAGGTGCACCGACGCGACACCGAAAACTAGGATTGAATCTTTGCACGTGGCTGGAAGCAGTTTGATAATGAAGCAGGCGAAGAGGAGATTGTCATGCAAATAAGGAAAAAACAGTCAGGGCTCCTGAGATTCTTTTGCAACTAAGCAAAAGACTAAGCAGGGTTCCCGAGACTCTTATTCAACTAAGTAAAAGACACTCAGGGTTCCCGAGATTGTTATGCAACTAAGCGAAGGACAGTTTCAGGACTCCCGAGATCCTTATGCAACTAAGCAAGACACTCAGAGCTCCTGAGATTCTTATGCAACTAAGCTAAAGACACTCAAGGTTCCCGAGATTGTTATGCAACTAAGAAAAAAACAGTCAGGGCTCCTGAGATTCTTTTGGAACTAAGCAAGACAGTCAGAGCTCCTGAAATTCTTTTGCAACTAAGCAAAAGACACCCAGGGTTCCTGAGATTGTTATGCAACTAAGCAAAAGACAATCAGGGCTCCCGAGATTCTTATGCAACTAAGCAAAAGACAGTCAAGGCTCCCAAGATTCTTATGCAACTAAGCTAAAGACACTCAGGTTCCTGAGATTCGTATGCAACTAGGCAAAAGACACTCGGAGCTTTTGAGATTTTTATGCAACTAAGTAAAAGACACTCAGTGTTCCCGAAATTGTTATGCAACTAAGCAAAAGACGGTCAGGGCTCCCGAGATTCTTATGCAACTAAGTTAAAGACACTCAGGGTGCCTGAGATTCGTATGCAATTAAGCAAAAGACATTCAGGGTTCCCGAAATTGTTATGTAACTAAGCAAAAGACAGTCAGGACTCTCGAAATTCTTATGCAACTAAGCTAAAGACACTCAGAGTTCCCGAGATTGTTACGCAACTAAGGAAAAGACAGTCAGGGTTCCCGAAATTGTTATGCAACTAAGCAAAAGACAGTCAGGGCTCCCGAGATTCTTATGCAACTAAGCTAAAGACACTCAGGGTTCCCGAGATTGTTATGCAACTAAGCAAAAAACAGTCAGGGCTCCTAAGATTCTCATGCAACTAAGCAACAGACACTCAGTGTTCCCGAAATTGTTATGCAACTAAGCAAAAGACGGTCAGGGCTCCCGAGATTCTTTGCAACTAAGTTAAAGGCACTCAGGGTGCCTGAGATTCGTATGCAACTAAGCAAAAGACATTCAGGGTTCCCGAAATTGTTATGTAACTAAGCAAAAGACAGTCAGGGCTCTCGAAATTGTTATGCAACTAAGCTAAAGACACTCAGGGTTCCCGAGATTGTTACGCAACTAAGGAAAAGACAGTCAGGGTTCCCGAAATTGTTATGCAACTAAGCAAAAGACAGTCAGGGCTCCCGAGATTCTTATGCAACTAAGCTAAAGACACTCAGGGTTCCCGAGATTGTTATGCAACTAAGCAAAAAACAGTCAGGGCTCCTAAGATTCTCATGCAACTAAGCAAAAGACATTCAGTGTTCCCGAAATTGTTATGCAACTAAGCAAAAGACGGTCAGGGCTCCGGAGATTCTTTTGCAACTAAGCAAAAGACACCCAGGGTTCCTGACATTGGTATGCAACTAAGCAAAAGACAATCAGGGCTCCCGAGATTCTTATGCAACTAAGCAAAAGACAGTCAAGGCTCCCAAGATTCTTATGCAACTAAGCTAAAGACACTCAGGGTTCCCGAGATTGTTACGCAACTAAGGAAAAGACAGTCAGAGTTCCCGAAATTGTTATGCAACTAAGCAAAAGACAGTCAGGGCTCCCGAGATTCTTATGCAACTAAGCTAAAGACACTCAGGGTTCCCGAGCTTGTTATGCAACTAGGCAGAAAACAGTCAGGGCTCCTAAGATTCTCATGCAACTTAGCAAAAGACTTAGGATTCCCGAGACTCTTTTTCAACTAAGCAAAACACACTCAGGGTTTCTGAGATTCTTATGCAACCAAGCAAAAGACACTCAAGGTTCCCGAGATTCTTATAAAACTTAGCAAAAGACACTCAGGGTTCCCGAGATTGTTATCCAACTAAGCAAAAGACACTCAGGGTTCTCGAGATTCTTATGCAACTAAGCAAGACACTCAGAGCTCCTGAGATTCTTTTGCAACTAAGCAAAAGACACTCAGGGTTCCCGAGATTGTTATGGAACTAAGCAAAAGACAGTCAAGGCTCCCAAGATTCTTATGCAACTAAGCTAAAGACACTCAGGTTCCTGAGATTCGTATGCAACTAGGCAAAAGACACTCGGAGCTTTTGAGATTTTTATGTAACTAAGCAAAAGACACTCAGGGTTCCCGAGATTTTTATACAACTAAGCAAAAGACAGTCAGGGCTCCCGAGATTCTTATGCAACTAAGCTAAAGACACTCAGGGTTCCCGAGATTGTTATGCAACTAAGGAAAAAACAGGCAGGGCTCCCGAGATTCTTATGCAACTAAGCTAAAGACACTCAGGGTTCCCGAGCTTGTTATGCAACTAGGCAAAAAACAGTCAGGGCTCCTAAGATTCTCATGCAACTTAGCAAAAGACTTAGGATTCCCGAGACTCTTTTTCAACTAAGCAAAACACACTCAGGGTTTCTGAGATTCTTATGCAACCAAGCAAAAGACACTCAAGGTTCCCGAGATTCTTATAAAACTTAGCAAAAGACACTCAGGGTTCCCGAGATTGTTATCCAACTAAGCAAAAGACACTCAGGGTTCTCGAGATTCTTATGCAACTAAGCAAGACACTCAGAGCTCCTGAGATTCTTTTGCAACTAAGCAAAAGACACTCAGGGTTCCCGAGATTGTTATGGAACTAAGCAAAAGACAGTCAAGGCTCCCAAGATTCTTATGCAACTAAGCTAAAGACACTCAGGTTCCTGAGATTCGTATGCAACTAGGCAAAAGACACTCGGAGCTTTTGAGATTTTTATGTAACTAAGCAAAAGACACTCAGGGTTCCCGAGATTTTTATACAACTAAGCAAAAGACAGTCAGGGCTCCCGAGATTCTTATGCAACTAAGCTAAAGACACTCAGGGTTCCCGAGATTGTTATGCAACTAAGGAAAAAACAGGCAGGGCTCCCGAGATTCTTATGCAACTAAGCTAAAGACACTCAGGGTTCCCGAGCTTGTTATGCAACTAGGCAAAAAACAGTCAGGGCTCCTAAGATTCTCATGCAACTTAGCAAAAGACTTAGGATTCCCGAGACTCTTTTTCAACTAAGCAAAACACACTCAGGGTTTCTGAGATTCTTATGCAACCAAGCAAAAGACACTCAAGGTTCCCGAGATTCTTATAAAACTTAGCAAAAGACACTCAGGGTTCCCGAGATTGTTATCCAACTAAGCAAAAGACACTCAGGGTTCTCGAGATTCTTATGCAACTAAGCAAGACACTCAGAGCTCCTGAGATTCTTTTGCAACTAAGCAAAAGACACTCAGGGTTCCCGAGATTGTTATGGAACTAAGCAAAAGACAGTCAAGGCTCCCAAGATTCTTATGCAACTAAGCTAAAGACACTCAGGTTCCTGAGATTCGTATGCAACTAGGCAAAAGACACTCGGAGCTTTTGAGATTTTTATGTAACTAAGCAAAAGACACTCAGGGTTCCCGAGATTTTTATACAACTAAGCAAAAGACAGTCAGGGCTCCCGAGATTCTTATGCAACTAAGCTAAAGACACTCAGGGTTCCCGAGATTGTTATGCAACTAAGGAAAAAACAGGCAGGGCTCCTAAGATTCTCATGCAACTAAGCAAAAGACACTCAGGATTCCCGAGACTCTTTTTCAACTAAGCAAAAGATACTCAGGGTTTCCGGGATTGTCATGCAGCTAAGCGAAATACACTCAGGGTTTTCGAGATTGTTATGCAACTAAGCGAAAGACACTCAGGGTTTTCGAGATTGTTATGCAACTAAGCAAAAAAACAGTTAGAGCTCCCTAGATTCTTATGCAACTAAGCAAAAAAGAAACAGGACTCCTGAGATTCTTATGCAACTAAGCAAAAAAGAATCAGGAATCCTGAGATTCTTATGCAACTAAGCAAAAGACACCCAGGGTTCCCAAGATTGTTATGCAACTAAGTAAAAGACACTCAGGGCTCCTGAGATTCTTAACCAACCAAGCAAAAAATAAGACAAATCAAGGCGGATTCATAAACCACAAGTATTTTGATTGCTCATAACCCTACGTCGCCTATCTATACCTAATTGCCAGATTCTTTTAACAAAGTTTATTCTGAATTTAAGTTTTCTCAGTTCAATCATTTTGAACACCGTTGTTTCTCCAATCTAGCTTGCTTTCTCTGGTTCTTATAAAACTACATCCTTCTCTTTTTCCTCCCATTTCTGTTCTTGTTTTGATGACTTTTAGCTCTTCAGTAACCTTAGTGATACATTTTCAGAGAATTTATAACAAACCCAGACCTGTTTATAAGGTCACTTGCACAGCATGACATATTCAGAGTTCAGAAATTTAACAAACATATTTTGTAACTGGTACAATAATTTAAAGAATGCAAATAACCGTTCACTCTTTGGTCGGAATCTATTCTGTCATCACATTTAAATAAATTTTTATCGCATTATTTGTTGAAGTTTAGAGCATAAAAATATTTTATTGAACTTTAAATTGACGCAAAATCTGAACAAAATCCATCAAAAAAGACAGGAAACAAGACTCTGAATTTTATTCAAATTTTTCTGAACACAAAACCTTGAATTGTGCATTTCTAGTGACAGACCGGTGTATATCTTCCCAAAGACCGCTTTTTATAACCTTGTCTAGGCAAAAATCGTGGACTACACTTAATTATTATTCAATGCTACTGTAAAATAGCACTGATCGTATTAAATAAACCCTCAAGTATTAAACGCTTTTGGAATGTATGAACTAGACGTTTAATAGACGTTCAAAATATCCCCAATATAAACGTTTATTGCTAAAAACTGCGTTGCTTCGGCACTATCGAAAACGCACACAGAATTTGAGTTGTTATAATTTACGGACTACCATACAAACATCATCTGAAATTCAAATTTTAAAAGCGCAAAATTTGCAAAACAAATTGTGAATGTGACAGATATGAGTTTTTCATTTAAAATTATTTTATCGCGATATTTTGGAAGACAGTGTGAGTTTAGTAGAAAAGTGAACAGACTTTGATTTTTATATTTTTATAGTTTTCGTTAATTTAAAAAAAACCTTTTTTTCGTGTTGCTTCTAGCTGGGACTCACCTAGGAGGTACACAGTCTTCATGGTGTAGGGCATCGCTAAGCCGCTGAAACAAAAACATGCCTGTCATTAACAATGTCGCCCCATAAAAAGTATAATGTGGGTGATTTTGAAACCGAACTAGTTTTAATAATGCAACATTTGCGCAACCGGTCAATTGTGAGCGAAGGCCTTAGCTCGAAGAAAAAACGTAAAAGTGGGAAAGTCGAATTGAGCGATTTATAATTAATTGCTTTCACTTTTGTTTGATTTTAAACAAGTCCCCAGATTAAACTCAAACCGCGAAAACAAATTTATTCGCATTTCGCAGTCCTTATCAATGTGGAGCGAGACATTCACCTATTTGTTGATGTGGGTGTTTTTGTTGACCGTAAATTACGCAACGACAAAGACAATGACTAAATTAATGGCTCCTGCTAACAATATTAATTATGGTAATGAAATTTTTGCGATATAATCTAGAAACTTTGAATGTCACTGGATTTATCCAGCCTCCAAATCCGGATTGTGGTTTGTGTACCATCCGTAACGCACAGTTATGCGCGTCCTTCGGCAACTGCATTTATTAGAGCATGAATTGGACGAGTTTCTACGAACGTGCATAATATTACGAGTGCGAAAAATGCAAAGATTCACCTTCGAAGGGACTCCTTTCACGTGCACATTCTTCTAATGATGCAACATACGACAAAAATATGAGCTGTGTAAAGCAAAAGCTTGTAAGGTTGCAGCCTTATGTAACGCCAAACACAGAACGGAATATTTTGTTTAGAAAATTTAAATAATGTATGTACACTTTCTTGGAATTTTGTTCTTTGTGGTAGCTATTTCTCGTTTCTAAAAATTGTTTTTCTTTTTTTTTTCGGAATGCAGTACGGTTCTAAACACTCATCTGTTTTCCGCCTGAATTAATATAATCGACATTATAAATTGAAATTAGTTCCACTACTGCATCACTTTTATACGGTAGCGTTTTATTCACAATTATAACGGTTTCTATATTCTGACGAACTTCTTCAGTCCTTTTGTTGTCAGAATATATTCGTTTCAATTTACAACGTTAATTTGGTACCACTAGTGGACCAAAATCAAAAATTTATTACATAACTAACGGTAAATCTCACTTTTTTTATGCTTCACTTGTAAATAAAGTTACATAATACATATTTTGTGGGAGTTTTTTGACTCAAATCTTATTTAGGGGAATATAACGAAAGAGAAACAATTAAAGTAGTCATACTTTGATTTTCCACTGCATTTTACGGCCTCTAAACTTTTTGCAATTTAATCATTAATAATCACTATTCTAATCTAAATTGTTTAGTTACTCCTTCTATTTCTTTGGGATATTTTATTATTTAGTTTTTACGAACGATTTCGGCTAGTGATTAGCCATCCTCAAGCCTTTATAACCATTAAAATCAAGTTGAAAAAAATTGTCGAAGGACTTGAAATACAGTCTAACAAATCCCGCTTCTTCAAAAAATTAAAAAATTAAATTTTGCGAATTTTTATTTGTGATAACTTCTATATATTAAAACAAATATAAGCTAACTGGCATCCTATAATTTTTTTGACACTATATGTTTTTTAGAGATTCTTTAGAGCTTGTTTTTCTGAATTCATTGATGTATTATTTAATCACCCATACGTCGCCACGGCCTACGATTCGAATGCATTATGTTACGCTTGATTTGACAGGACACGGATTAACAATTGCTCCAAAAATATGAATACATTTATGAAAAGCAAGGCTATGCCTGTATTTCAAGTGAGTTTTTTCATTTGTAAATGTTTCGATCAAGATTATTTCAGCAAGGACATTGCCACACGTGCAGTGTAATACTAATAATAAAACAATGGGGTGTGTCCTTGAGATCTGATCAATATAAAATACAGACAATAGCAGTAACAGTGTAAGAAACAAAAAAATCACATACCACTATTGAACGTGGGCTATATACGCTAACGTTGTAGTAACTCCACTTATACTAGTTTAAACGGTTGCTGCACAATTTTGATTTTTTGTGACAATTTAAATATCTCGGAAAAAATCTCAAAGCAGATTCATAAACAACAAGTACAGCAATATGTTATTTTATAAAATTTAAATCCTACTTACTATGAAAACTTTGTGAGGATGTCGTTCCATTGTTGATGAGGATGATTAGACGAATTTTGATTAGCGATTTATCGTCTACGCGATATTCTTAAAATATGTACATATAAAATTTGACAACAATTGGTTCGGTAGTTTCGGAGATCATCTGTCTAATACAAATAGATACAGATGACATACAACAGACAGACGACAGACAAATGATAAACAAACAGACAGACAGACGGAAACGCGAACGCTGCTTTTTAGGCAATTTTAAAAAGAAGACTGGATTATGAACATTTTATTTAGACCCTTTTTAAAAACAATTCACTTAACAAAATTCTGAGATGACATTTTAGAGGCAGTGCTTTAAAAAAATCCGAGACTATCGACGAATGGAAATGGGAGATCTACATTTTCATATTCCAGAAGCTATGACATCGAGAATATAGGATATATACCGGGTGTCTGGAAAATTGCGAATTAACTCTTCAGTATGTTATGTACGGTATAATAAAAAAATTCGCACCTAATGCCTGAATACCTCGGACTTATTTTCTGAATTCTTAGGGGTGGGTGGGCGATGCTAGTAGCTGCTAAAATTAGACCGATTTTCGCAAATAACATACGCTCTAAGAAAAGAAAGGGTGGATGGGCGGGGCTAGTACCTGCTAAGATAAGACTGATTTAGGCAAATGACATACCCTCTAAGAAAAGAGAGGGTGGGTGGGCGGGGCTAGTACCTGCTAAGATAAGAGTGATTTTGGCTGAAGAAATAACCTCTGAGAAAAGAGAGGGTGGGTGGGCGGGGCTAGTAGCTGCTAAAATAAGACCGATTTTGGAAAATAACATACCCTCTAAGAAAATAGAGGATCAGTGGGCGGAGCTAGTAGCTGCTAAAATAAGACCAATTTTGGCAAATAACACTCCCTTTATGAAAGAGAGGGTGGGTGGGCGGGGCTAGTACCTTCCAAGTTAAGATTGATTTAGGCAAATGAGATAACCTCTAAGATAAAACTGATTTTAGCAAATGACATACGCTCTAAGAAAAGAGAGGGTGGGTGGGCGGGGCTAGTACCTGCTAAGATAACAGTGATTTTGGCAAATGAGATACCCTCTAAGATAAAACTGATTTTGGCAAATGACATACGCTTAAAGAAAAGTGAGGGTGGGTGGGCGGGGCTAGTACCTGCTAAGATAAGAGTGATTTTGGCAAATGAGATACCCTCTAAGAAAAGAGAGGGCGGGTGGGCGGGGCTAGTACCTGCTAAGATACGACTGATTTTAGCAAATGACGTATCCTCAAAGAAATTTAATTCAATTATTATAAGAAAAGACACTAGAGGCTCCAAAGCACTTTCAAATTATTTCCAAACGGGAATACGTAGAACCCGAAAATTGGTTTAAATTAAAAAACAGTCCCAAAATTTACTGAAAAACAGGTTATGTCGGAATTTTCCAAAAATAGAACAACGAAGTCCCCCAAAATTGTTTTAATTAATTTACAAAAAAACCTTCGCGGGCTCCCAAAATAATACACCATGGGTACACAAAAATCTCGAATTAAAAAAAAACACTTTTTCAAATTTGTAAAAAATAAAACACTAAAACTCAAAAGATTTTTTCAAGTTCAAAAACAACATGGTTATGACCGAGAGAATTATTAACTAAAACTCCACCAAAATGTGGGAAGGATTTTTTTTACTATTTTTCCCAGACTCACCAGTAGATTGTTAAAAGCGTAGCGGAGAGTTAGTCCGCGACTTTCGAGACAACCGGTATATTTCGTGATACCCTCAAAAATGACAATATTGTGCGAGCGTAGCGAGCTGTCTTTTATTACTATTATACCTAAGTGAAAATATATAGGGTGGGCCACCAAGGATGAATTCGTCGATATTTCAAAAAAAGTCACAAACATATGCAATGTACGGTTCTTTCGATAGATACACTACATTTTCAAATATACAGAGTGTTCATTTTTGAGACATACTTAACCCACAAGTTAGTTTTTTTAAATACAACACCCTACACAGTTTTCGATACAACGTTGCCACGTTATCATAATTTTTTTGATTTTTTTTAACAAAGGTGAGGTTATTTTTATTTTTTTTTTTTTTTATAATCTGTGCTACAATATTTTGTAGAGAAATAAACAAAAATACGCACTTTGTTGGGGTATAAATTAAATTGGGCCTTCATATACAAAGTGTTCATAAAGAATGTAAGATGCAGAAATAAAATACAAGGTGTTCTGTTTGAAAAAAACCATATCGACATTTGAAAACTGTAATATTTTAGATATACACTCTGTATAACAAAATTTAATTTAACTGATAACACAACAAAGAATTTATCTCTCTTTATCTCTTCTCAAAATATTGTAAAACACATATTATAAAATACACCTATTTTGATTTTTGTGAAACCAAAAAAATGTTGGAATAATGTGGCAACTATGGTTATAAAGCCTACCACCAGCCAGCCAGTTAGGGTGTGTAAAAATATACAAGTGTTCCATTAAAAAAAATTAGTTATGCGTTGCGCCTCAAAAACCCTTTATATAGTTGCAAATAATTTTAGTATCTGGTACTCAAATCAGTGGATAACTTTAGTCTTTTTTATGACTCACCCTGTATCTTTAATAATTATTAATTGAAGGTAACGATCCCTGTCACGATATTTTTACGAATAAAACGAATATTTGTCCCTGATATTTTTCAATAAGCGAAGAAAGCTATAGGTATATACAGTGCGATTATGGTTTTAACTTTTTAAATATTTTACAAAGGATCCTTCATAAAACTAATATTTATATTACAGATTTCTTGAGAAGCAAAGAGAACTCTGTTATACTATTTTTGAACAAAAAATCACAAAAACAATTGAAAGAAGGTTCAGATCGAGATATGTAGATCTGTCCAGAATTTCTGTTCAAAAAATAT